TGCTGAACTCCTAGAATTGGTCTTGTCTCGATTGGTCCTAGCGGATAACATCCGGGCTTCTTCTGTTTGCAAGAGATGGCATTCTGTTGCGAGTGCTGTACGTGTAGTAAATCAATCACCATGGCTTATGTATTTTCCAAGATTTGGTGACTGTTATGAATTCTATGACCCTGTGCAGCGTAAGACACACTCCCTTGAGTTGCCCGAGTTGAATGGATCTAGAGTTTGTTATACCAAGGATGGTTGGTTATTGTTATACCGGCCTAGAACTCACCGAGTATTCTTCTTTAATCCCTTTACTAGGGAGCTGATTAAACTGCCAAGATTTGAGATGACATACCAGATTGTTGCCTTCTCTTGTGCTCCAACATCACCCGGCTGTGTTCTGTTTACTGTTAAGCATGTTAGTCCTACTGTTGTAGCTATTAGCACTTGCTATCCTGGGGCAACAGAATGGACCACTGTTAATTATCAAAATCGCTTGCCCTTTGTCAGTAGCATTTGGAATAAGCTTGTGTTTTGTAATGGGTTATTTTATTGTCTGAGTCTCACAGGTTGGCTCGGTGTGTTTGACCCAGTTGAATGTACTTGGAGTGTCCTTGCAGTACCTCCACCCAAATGCCCAGAGAACTTTTTTGCCAAAAACTGGTGGAAGGGGAAATTTATGACGGAGCATGAAGGGGATATAATAGTAATTTACACATGTTGTAGTGAAAACCCCATTATTTTTAAGTTAGATAAGACATTAATGAAATGGGAAGAGATGACAACACTAGATGGAGTAACGCTTTTTGCTAGTTTTTTGTCATCACATTCAAGGACTGACCTCGTAGGAATAATGAGGAATAGTGTCTACTTCTCTAAAGTTCGTTTCTATGGAAAGCGTTGTATATCATTCTCTCTTGATGAATATAGATACTATCCCCGTAAACAATGTCATGACTGGGGAGAACAAGACCCTTTTGAGAACATTTGGATTGAGCCACCTAAGGACTTCTCTGCTTGCATGTGAAGAATTTTAGTGAACAAAGTAAGCATTTATAAAGTCAGTATTGTATAGAGCTAATTTTTCTTCTTTTTAGCCTTACCTGCTTATAACTGTGCATAAATGTGGGATCCATGCTTTTGTAGCTAGCATAATAAGACATTTATGGAGCAACTAGTTTATGCTTTACTAATCAATTTATGTATATTTGAACTTCTCATTCTTAATCTTTTTGTTTGATTATCAATGCTTCCCCCAATTCCCTATACAAATTAATCCAGGTTGCATGCATTCTTATCAGTGTTAAATTATATGCAATTCTTAACTGGATTTTTCCAGTGGTTAATTATGCATTAATAGCATCTCCATTTTCAGTTTTAAGCACAAATAAAGTATTATTTTACATTTACTGTATCTTATACGTTGAATTGTTGTAAGTACAATTTAAAGTGTTTCTGACTTATTATCAAACTTGTTGCTAAGTCTTCTATTTCTATGGTATGATTGCAGTCGAATGTTCTTGATCATTGGTAATTGAAATGCGAAAGGATCATAGTTACATGTTAAACTGAAAAACATAGTTGTGTGGCCGCATGTATTTCAAGAGGACTAGTTTTTTTGTGAGAATGATAAAAGTAACAAAGTCAAGTGTGCATACTTGAATTTATAATTAATATTTTAGGATATTAATACTAATTTTGATAAATTTCATTTATTTGCTCTTAGCTTCAACTATTGTGAAATTCTTAAAATAGTTGGGTAGTTAAAATTGTCAAATTGTGAGCTTTGTATTGCCTTGTTACCTTCTCATCTAATTAGAACCAACTTATAATTAAATTTGACTGGCGTAGAAAACCTGTTAGTAAGTGCACCATTTTGACTTTGACTGCCTATTCATAATTTTCTTAATTCTACTCGTACGAGTTCGATGATGAAAATATATACCCGCATTTCAGAAATATTTTAAAAAAATAATTGGCAAACCTTGTCAAGGCTAGGGTTAGTTTTTGCTGTTGTGGGTAAATGGTTAAACACTTAAACTGATTGGACTGAGCTGTTGATTGATCATATATATCTTGTTTTCAAATGAAGAGAGGAAAGATCAGACTTTCTTTACCAAATTGAAATGTTTCATGAGATTATAGAATACTTCTCTCTACCTTATCATATATGGACTTGTCCCCTCCCTCTTCTGCTTTGTTTGTTCCTTCTACATGTCAATGGTGGATCAACATTGCCTAACATGATATTAATGTTTGTATACAGGCTTTTGTTTCAACGAGAAGTCCTAGTGCAGAACATGTGAATATTTGGAAGCATGCTAATGCTATGTTTGCAGCTGCATATAGGAGGCTAGTATATGCATAAAACGGAAGTTATATGTGAAGGAATGGACCTCCGGAAGAGGAAAGCATAAAAGACTTGCCTCGGTTATTTTGCCTTTGCAGATCCTGGAACATTAATATTTTTTACCCCAACACAGCAGCAGAAAACATTAGATTTTATGCTAATTTAGAGATTTGTTAGTTATTATTTTGGGAATGATCCGTAGTTTATTACATGTGAAAGAATGGACTTATGCAAAGAGAGAAGCGAAAAATACTTGCCTTATTGGTCATTTTGTCTCTGCAAATCCGGAAATATTAATATTTCTTACGCCCAACATAGCAGTGCTTATGGAGAACACTGAACATTAGAGTTTTTATTAATAAAGATAATTATTAATTAATATTTTGGGCATAATCCCTAGTTCATTGTCACTATTGGTATTAATCTTTCCTTTAGTTTGTCTACTAATATGATTTTAGCTACATTCGTAGGTCGAAAGGAATCATATTGAACTGAAGGAATTATACGATTCTGTTATGCTTTATTGGAAGTTTGGAATGTTTATCAGTGACAAGTTTAGTTTCTAAATTTTCGACAAAATGTTATGCCGAGGGGGAATGATAATTTTCCTTTCTTGAGTCGGAAAGAAGATTTTAATGATGTATAAACATAGTAATACCGTTATTAATTTATCTGATATAATTATATGAATTATAAAATATTTGATTGTTAAATTTTATAGATTAAATTGAAGAATAAGAAATATTGCAAAAGTATTTTATTATATATATATATATATTAAATTTTATAATTTGAATAATTTTAATATATTAAATATTATACAGTTAATATATTTTTATTTACAATTCTTTAAAAATTCCCAAGACATTAATTAATAAATTAATTAAAATATTATCACACTATTCAATAAATATTTTAGAATCTTGAAGCAAGTTTATATTTAAGAAAAAAAATAATAATTGTGACGCTAAAATTAAATATAAAAAAGATTATAATCACCAACTTTTTTAACAATTTCAAAATTTATGAAAAATATTTTCATAATTTTTTTTCTCGAATATTCCTTCTTGTGTACAAGACATTTATAACATAATCACACAAAAATATAAATGATCATTTTAGCTTATTTTATTGATTTATTTTTTAAAAAATTATAGTGTACCAATTTTATCTCCACAATTTATCATTAAATTGTTATTTATCATAAAACAGTTAAAGATATTATTCTATATCAAATTTTATACACCAATAACAATAATATAAATAGTCAAAAATTACCAAAAATATAAATGACAGTTAAGAAATTCAAGAACTGACGAAAAAAAATTATTTCTCAAATTTTCTTGTCTTTATCCAACAAGAAGCACATGTACTCAACTTTTAATAAGAATAAAAAGTAAAAAATAAAATTAATGCTTCATTAAAAATTTTAAAATATCATATAAAAAAACTGTACTTACTTTTAAAAAAAGTCTTGTAATAAGGATCTAAAAGGGTAGTATTTTTTAAAACTAAAATTCTCATGTAATAAATACAAATATTAAAAAATTTAAATAATACAAATTTGAAATAATATATCATAAAATTATATTCAAAAATAAATATTTTATATTAACATATTCTATTAAAACTAAACTGGTGAATCTTTAAGGGATAAGAAATCATCGAAAATTAAATTGTTTTGAATTATTTTAAGTTAATGTTAGAGATAATTATGTTTGAAGAAATTCATTTTCTTTTTCTAACTTCATAAAAAAATCTCAACCCTTCCACTATGGCAAAGTTATGGTGTTTGATTAGAGATTCAAAGTTAAAGAACTAAGCATCAAAGATCAAAATTCAATGAACTTTAAACATTAATTTTTAATCATAAGAGAATATATTAAATATTACAAAAAAATGATTTTGATATAAACAATAGATATCTTTTATTAGATAAGTATTTAACATAATTACATATACTTAAATTTAAAACTAATTAAATTAAAATAATTTCATATTAATTGCACTTAACCATACATTTCAAGAATGTTTAGAGTTATACAAATTGTATCTAATCCCAAAATTTATGATACATGAATATGGTTTAGTTATGAAAGAATTTTCTCCAACCATATGCCCTAGGAGTGTGAGCTCTTCACGAAAATTTCTATGCAATTTACTCGAGACATTCCCTTCAAGGTACCTTGGAGATTAGAAGTATCAATTTAGCCTTTCCTTAAATTATATGGTTTGTTAAGGGGAGTTTGTGTTCGACCAGTACTCATTCAAATATCGTTCCGGTTCTTCTAGAACGACAGATAGACAGATAGAAACACGGATTAATATATCACTGCAAGCTAAACATCTGAAACATCTACATAATTTTTCATCAGTCTAGTCAGAATTATCATGTACTTCAAAATTATGTGGTCTCTTCAAATATTTGATAACGAAAAATTGAAAGGCAAGATAAATAAAATTATATGAAAACATGACTTTGATGCTTAACTGAGTCTTAGCCTTGAGTACATGGATTAATCTTACAAAAATCTTTAAAAAAAAATATGAAAACCTTCAATTACATGAGAATCATGTTATCGCCTTTAAAATCTTTCTCACCGATTAAAAATCTTGCAAAAAATCATCACTTCATTCACAGCAGTGTCCTATTTGACTTAGGCTCCGTGCTTCGAATCGTCAACAATTCTAAGCCTTCGGTGCAACTGCTGATGACACAATAATAGCATAGCATATCAGAATTTTCGTTTCATAAAATGTCCAAAATGCAGAGATAAAGGAAGAAAATGGAAGGCATTATATGTATGAATTTCAACAAATACACGTTAATTGAATTGTAATTTCATTTCCCAGGATTTTTTCTCTAGATTTTTTTTTTATCTGTGCAGCTATAAAGCTTAATTCTGCATTGGAGGTAGATCACTAACTAGAAGGAACAAACCTCAATTTGCTGGCTCCTTAAAGCCCATTGAATTAGTAGGGATAATACCGGCTTTGCCCACGATTGCGGTTATTACCATTACTGCGTTTCCCACCACTTGAGCGACCGCTCCTCCCATGTCGGGATACTGGCATTGGAGCAGGATGTTGCAGCCCTGGTTGTTGCCTACAGGCCCACCAAAACAAGAAATAGAACTCAGCTATAATTGTTATACTAACGAGGAAAAAGCTACACATGCAACTATGGATGAGTACATAATGATGGGTTGAAAATCTAAAACTAGATAAATTGGGCCGACACTCACAATACATATCCAATCCTTCCATCTGGTAAAAGCATTGGCGTCATCCCCATGCCAGCAGGGGTGGCTCCAGGACCATACATCAGTGGCTGCACATTTAAGGACATAAACATCAGTAAGAGACATATAGAGCCATACTTGCACCAAGTATAATGCAGGGTGGATACTCAAAACAGAATAAGAGTGTAATTCATTTCTTTAAATGCAACTCTTGACTAAAGTTAGTGAGCATAGAGCAGATCGAGTTAAACTGGGTACAGCAGTAAAAAAAATTCACTCATCAATTGTTCATATCTATTAATCATGCAATAATCAAATTACTATGATTCACAATATATACTACTAATACATACTAAAATTAACATAGATATTATCCAACTGGAGACCCTAAGAGTGTGTTTGGGAAAACTGTGAAAATTAACTTATTTTAATAATTGATTATATGAATAATTGAGATTATTATTATAATCAAAATGAAATTCTGTAGAGATAAGTTTGCTGAAATGCAATTTTAAGATATTTAATTTTGTTTCGATACAAAAGAAATTTCCATGTGGTAAATAAGCTTAAAGGAAAAAAAAAAGATGTTGAGGAATAATTATAAGCTAAAAATTTCCAACTTCAAAAAAACAGCTTATTTTTCAAGAAAAAAAGCTGTTTACAACCAGTTTTTTTAGTAAACAGCTTTTTTTCCCAAAAATCAGCTGAAATGGGAGATTATAATCTCTCCCAAACTCTAAATACACAAATTAAAGTTAGCTAACCTGTTTCTCCCAGGGTTGAGGCAACATAAGTCCATCAATAACTAAAATTTGGCGATTATTTCGGAATGTGAAATTAAGTGGGACTGTTCAAGGCAAATTAACCATCCAAATTGAATTTTTTTTCATGCTTTACAATTAATGAAGTGCAACTCACTCCTGTCACCTCTCAAGGTGAGACAGGACAGTTGCCACAATGTATTCATGGGAAGCCTATTCTTAGCCCAACCTCCAATCCTCAGCCTTTTAAAAATTTGCAAGACTAGAAATTTGAGACTACCAGGGTAAAAAGCAACTTACATGTGCAAAGCCAGCACCACCATATCCTGGACCTATAGCACCATAAGCACCTCCAACAATACCATAACCAATATGAGGTGGATAAGCAGGAAGTGCAACTGAATTCTGTGTATTGGCTGCTCCGGATGACTTTTGATTTGCTTGTGGCTTCGCAAGTGAACAATCCAATGTTTGTCCTGTCCGTCCCAAAAAAACCAATGCTTACCATATGTAACAACAGTCCAGTGCACTATTATTAAAGAAAACAGATTGGAGAAAAGGTATTCATAAAACGAAATAAGAAGTACCATCAATTTCATATTTATCCATGTTCTTCAATGCCTTCATGGCACCTGACTTTTCAGCAAAGTGCACAAAACCAAATCTTCTCTTTTCTTGCCCAGCTTTAGCAGGAGGGAGAACCACTTTTGTGATATTTCCATGATGTTCAAACAGCTCTTTAAGACGATCCTGAGTAATGTTTTCTGGAAGGTTCTTTATATACAGTGCTTTTACCTATAACAAGCACCAAGTCTCAGTTATACAACTTTCTATAAAGCATTACTAAAAATCCAACAAGCACACCATGAGGAAAACCACCCGAAAGTTAATCCCATAATCATAACAGCCGCTCAGACAATAACCAAACATACAGGAAAGTCAATGCCAGGGCCATCCCAACAGTAAGATAGATGATTAATGCCCCAAAAAAGAACTTTACTAACAATATTTAAACAAATTAAAAGCCAGTAATTAATTAATAAACAATAATAGTTTATTAGGAGTTACTGTTTTTTTAAATCCCTCTCCCTGTTATAACTCCCGTTTATCATAATTAATGAAGAACAGATAGCAATATAGTAAGTATAGCCCAAAACATGAACCAGAGATGCACAAAGCAGTTTTGCACAAAGAAAGCAGTTTTACCTAACAAGTTTTTTTTTTAATTTAGTCTATTGAAATTTTGAAAATGGGAAATATAATTGGTTGCACCATTTTTGGCCTTAGTTTCAATGGCAGGTGCAATTCCATCAAAGAAGTAGCGATGAAAGTGGCACCAAAAAACACCATTGAAACATGCCACACTAAGTATGTTGCATGGTGCAAGAAGGGCTGCCTCACTGTTTAATTACCGTGTTGGATTATTTCCTTTGGCATTGATTATCACATTGCTTTACCTTCTATATTTTAGGGTGTTGATTGGAGGTGTGTTCTTGTCGGATCAGAGAATGTCTACATGTATGCTATTTTTATTGCCACTGTCAATGTTTTTTGCATGCATATTTTGTTGTTGTATTTTATTTTAGTCTATTTGCAGGTTATAATTCATAATTATAGGATCAACCTGGGGCCCAGGACAGCCCAATGTTTATATGTGCTTATAAATGAGACCTTTTTAAACTAATGAAAATCATTTATTAAAATTAATATAATCTTATTTGAAAGTCTTTTGAACTTTGCAATGCAAAATTACTCATTAAGTTTTCATAATCAATTTCATTTATATTTCTTTTAATCCTTAAAAATAAGGTGGAAGTGTTTTACCAGGTGGAAGAAAAGATAAAGAAATATAACTAGTGATGAGAAAGTACATAAAAAGAGAAGAAGGAATGGCATTAATCGGTTGAGAAAATGAAGGAACAAATGGTGTCTGCTGTCACTCTTAATTTAGTTTTATATTATTTCTCTAGACTATTAATTTGATTAACAAAGAAGAAAAAAGGTTTTTCATTGGATTTGCTTAAATCTATGAAGCACAGCCTCTGACACAGACCTGACACGAACACAGATATTGTGATATATTGGTTAATGTCAAAAGAGTTGGACACGAGAACACATGTATATATAAGCTTCATAATTTTAATATGATAATGACTCTTAGAAAATGAACCATATATCTTGAAAATTAAAACATCAATAATTCTTATGAAAAAATTAAGAGGCTTGCAATATTTATAAGTTGACTTTCAATTTTTTTTTTTATCATAAGAGTGTTAGATAAGTGTTTAACTAAGAGCAGGAGTCGACTCACTCTCTTAGATCATGTTTAAATCGTGTTAGAAAGATGTTAAAGTTGTGTCAAAGAGGTATCCAAATAAAAAAAAAATTAATTGTGACATGATGTAGATGTGTCGGACATGTGTCATGGCATATCTAACAAGGGTCGAGTTAGAAACGTGTCGAACATGCTGACATGGCATTTTGTAGATGTGTCGGTCATAGATTTAAATAGGAGCCACACCAACTATAGACACTCCTATTATTATTATGTGAATATGTTCTTTCATACTTATAAGATTTTTTTATGTTTATTTGCATATTGTTGTCATTGTGAATTGTAATCAACACACTATCTTGTTCAAAAATATTAGCCATTGCTCAAATAGTTGCATTATGCTATAGTTATGCAGGCTGCAGCCTATCAACAACTATGATATAAATTGATAAATCAGCATGAACATAATTCATATATGACAGCCTACAGATGACTTTTTTCTTCAAAATTATAAGGGATGCTATTCATAAAATTTAAATAAAATAATAATAAATCACCTGAGAGTTTGCAGATGATTCGGAATTCCTTGGATCAGCCCAGCTCACTGTTGGAGTGTTGCTGTCAAGTTTAAAGTTTGAGTTTGACATTTTCTGCCTCGAATATTCAGCACAAGCATGATTGTAATACCCAATAAAAGCAAATCCTCGGTTACGGCCAGAACTCTGTGGGTCCTGCAACAATGAATCAGTTAGCCAGGTCAGCTCAAGGAAGAAATTATCCATCATACAACACAATTCATAGTTTAGTAACAAGAACAAGCTTTAAAAATGTGTTAACACATAAATTTTCAAACGTATCAAACCATATGAGATATAATAGAAATAACGTCAACAAACCTTCAACAGTTCTACAGCAATGACTCCAGGACCAATTTCTTCAACAGCTTTCTTCATATCTTGTTCAGTCCAATTTCTAGGAACATTACCAATGAACAACTTGTGCTTAGCTTGAGATGTTGAGCATTTTATTCTTTTTTCCTGAAAACACAATATAACTTAATTCAGATAGTAGTACTACAGCCTAGAGTGACCACTGGCTAGCTAAACAATAAAAACAAATGGGTCACTTGAGTAGATAACCTAATCAATGAACAAGATAACCACTAGAGATTTGAAGAAGAAAATGGTAACAAGTGCACCAAAATACCTTAAACTCAGAGTTGTTCAGCTCCTCAATAGCCTTAGATGCCCATTCCTTTGTCTTGAAGGTCACAAAAGCATAACCTTTTGCTTCACTGGATTCTTTTCCCTTCATTATCCTAACCTGTACAAATTTAATCAGATTGGGCAGTCATGATGAAGGGGGAAAAAAGGATAAAAGAATTTCATGCATCTTACCTCTGAAACTTCTCCCACAGATTGACAAAAAAGCCTCAAATCTTCTTCGGAAACATTTTGAGGAATGCCCCCAATGTAAACCTCAGACCCATGAGGTGGAAGTGCAAGAAGGTCAGCATGTTTCTTTTTCTCAACTCCATCCTTAGTATCTGCCACTCTCATCTCATCTTCTTCTTCCTCCTCCTCCTCTTCCTCCTCTTCCTCTTCCTCTTCCTCTTCTTCCTCTTCCACTTCTACCTCCTCCTCTACTTCTTCATACTCAACTTCTTCCTCCATTGTCTGCTGTTGATCATTGTTCCCATCAAGGTCTACCTGCTCATCAGAATCTGTAGGTTTCTCACGCTCACCGTTCCCCTCTGGTGACTCTGGATTTTTGGCCTTTACATCTCTCTGCCTTGACCCAGGCATTTTTTGCATCTAGAAAAGCAAGCTTGCAGGGGAACTGTGAAGGAAGCACAGATGCCAGAAGCATTCATAGAAGAGAGATTGCATATATGGTAAGGGGGAAACAATGTGAGAGGCCAAAAGGAATAGCAGAGTAAGAATTTTGATTGAAACTGTGCCATGAGGTATGGACCAAGGAATAGCAACATGGTTGATTTTTAATCCAGGGATCATTATCTCATAGTAACAAAAGTAACAGAGACAGACATGAGAGAACGCTGAACGAAAAAATCAAGGGGATAACAATGCTCAACAGGCCAATCAAAGACAAAAAACAAATCTACGGAGAAACGAATTTCAGAATTTCTCGTAACTTAGATGCCGAGAGTTGCCCAGAAAATAGAGGCCAGTTTAATTGTTGTTTAACTATTTGTCGGAGGGCAATGCCCACAGAGAACAAGGTGGGAAAGGAACAAAAGTAACAAATAAGAAACTGAACTACATAAAATATACAAAAAAATATTACATAATACTGTGAGAGAGAGAAATTTAACCTAAAGAGCAATGCATTCTACTCCAAACCCTTCCTACTTAACTAGGTTTAATTGGAGACTAAGATATGCCACATTATCTCAGTTCTTTTCAGATATGAAAAACAATAGTACTGTTCCCTACGAAATATTGAGCTTTCACTTTGAAACTTCACATGAGAATGTGCTTCCTAAGAACCATGCATCTACCAAGTGGTTCCCATTGAACGATTTGATACGTAGAACAACCAAGCTAATTTCATGGAGTATCAATAAAACTAACTAAACATGACTCATCCATCTCTTTCGTAATATTTCAAGATATTAAAAAGATAAAAGAAAAAAAAAAAAAAAGTAAACCCTGCGCATTTGTGCATTATTAAGAGCCAATGCAGGAAAAACGAAAGTACCTGATCGCGCGATAGTCGAAATTGAAACGGAAGCTTCAAAATCGTGAAGTTCTAAACCTAATCCTGTGTACGCGCGTACCCTTATGCTTATAATTTATAGGGGCTGTGGCGACCGAATCCACTGTTGCTTGGCGTTGTAGAGAGGGATTCTGTCTTGGGCCTTTCGACCGGGCCTTCTACATTACCCTTGGGCCTGCCCCTCCGAGTTTGTATTTATGTGATATGAATGCTTACTTTTACTCGATTTTTTTAAAAATAAATATAAGATATTACACAATCCTCTTTTTTATGTTAAAATTACGTTATCTTTCTTTGAGAGATAAGATATCATATTGTCCTCTCCTTTCTTGTTAAAATATATATTTAACTTAATGTTATTAAAATAAATTACACTACTCTCATATAAGAAATATAGATATTATATTAACACCTTTCATACATTAAATTATAAAATAAATTATATTTTTAATTCTTGAAGATATAAATTATATCATCACTCTTTTATTATATGAAAATATGTAAATTAGAATATTTAACTTAACCTTAAAAAATATTCATTGTAAAAATATTTAAATACTTTTTGATTAAATTATATATTAAAATATTTTTAACTCATTATTATTTATTCACATAAAAATTATAAAATATATAATTAATTTTAAAATAATTTATTAAAGTAATAAATAAAATAAATTGTATATAAACACTTATATATATATAAGTATTAAATTATGAAACAATTATATTTCGTTTAATAATAGATTTGTAATGTAAATATATTCATAAAAAATTGTATGTTATATTTATAAAAAAAAAATGAATGCTTAACTTAGATATTATAATATTATATCTATTAAAAATGATAAATAATATTTTATCAAAAGACATTAATTTATTTAGATATTTTTTAAAATATTTTTATTAATAATTAAATAATGTCTTAAAACTTATATATTACCTAAATTTAATATATATATATATATAGTATCAATTATATATATATATATATATATTTATTTATAAACTTAAAATATTTTAATAATTAAAATATTTATTTTAAATATATAATTAATTTGTAAAATAACAATTAAGTATGTAAATAAAGAGATATATTATTTTTTTACCAAGAGATAAATTGTTAAAGTGTAATATTTATATCTGTTAAGGGATGAAGATTTTATTTTAATACACACAAAAAAATGACAATTTAATATTTGCATCTCTAAGAAAGTGTTAATGTAAATGATATTTTGTTAACAAGTTTTTTAATAAAAGCTAATAGAACTAATGAAAAAAATTTTAAAAATAGGTAAAATGTCACATATTGTAATTTGTTAAGGGATAAGACTATAATTTTAGTATACAAGAAGAGGATAATACAATATTCATATTTCTCAGGAAAAGAAAGTGTAATGTAATCTTTTTGTAATATTTAATTCACAATTTTGATTTTTTTATTTTTAATTCCATGATTATAGTTCAGAATTTTATAAAATTTATAGTTTTTGTTAAATAATTAAATGTCTAACTATTGATCATTAAAATTATAATATTGACCGTAATTTTTTTGTGAATGCATTGATCATGATGTGATTATCAGTATTTAATTTTAATTTTAGTTTTAGATTTTTATTCTTTCCTTTGAATTTTTTTATATTAGTAATCAAAATCAACAACATATAAAAGTGTTGTCTTTCAGCATATAGGTTATTTTGTTTAATAGAAGTGTTTAAGAATTATTAACATTTATTGAACCACTTGACGATACGATTAGTCTTTAAATTTTAAGGTCTTATATTTGATAAAGATAATTAATAATTAATATTCTTTTTTATTATTTAAAAATTTAAGAATAAAATTATTTAAAAAAGGTGAAGACGAAAAAATGATTATAATTTTATATTCTCTTTTATATATAAGTATAGAGTATAAAAACAAATTACTCCCTATTTTCTTCCTTGAGAAATATTTAAATCATAATTTTCTATATGTATATGATTTACACTTTAATTATTTTCAATAGAAACAAATCTCGTTTACTATTATGATTGCCTCCTAATAATATTTCTTCTTTCAACTTTCAATGTTAGTAGCAACTAATTTTGAACATATTTAGAATCGTAAAAGGTATAATGAAATTTTATTGTGTCTTTCTTTTTGTTGCATAATTTTATGTCTATTATCAACTTCAAAATTTTTGTTTATTTTCTTTTCATCTTCTAATGTTACAAAATTGATAATAAATGTTTTAAATTAGTCATTAATAGTATTTAGAATCATTGCAAGAAAAAAAAATATAGAAAACTCATTTGCATTAAAATAAATCTAAATCTAAAACATATTTATCTTCTTATAAGAAAGACGATATATATTTTTTAAAAAAATGTAATATAAACATTTGTTAGGGATGAGAAGTATAATTTATCCACAAAAAAAAAACAAATAGGCACTATTTTTAGTGAGGGAATAATTTATAGGAAGAATTTTTTTATTGGATTTAATGAAACTGGCGGCAAAAGAGCACTTCATGCCTCTGTAAAAAAAATTAAAAAAATTTAATGTTTCATAAAAATAAAAATGGGTAGTTATTATTTTTAAAAAGATAGTAATTTTTTTACATATTTTTTTTATTTTATCCTTAAATATTAATTAGTGGAAAAAAAAAATAAAACATAAGAGTATAATTGTCTTTGAAAAAATTGGATACCAAAAAGATATATTCTCTTTATATATTGTAGATGATAAATAAAAATGAGACACATCTTCATAGTTTTAATTGTGTTTTATGACGAAGCTTGCTAAGAAAAACTATAAGCCTTTTGAATAAAAATCTACTAATAAGTTTGCTTCAGTATATTTGAACAGACAGGATCGGTAATTTACAACAGTTGACAAAAAAAAAATTGAACTCAAAAGCTAACAAACTAAAATCAAGAATGCTCAAAGAGATTCATAATGTCCCAGGCTATATCCTTATATGAACTGAAAAAGTTCTCTGATTAACGAAAATGACTTAGCCAAGTCTCAAGAATATTGTTCTCAAGAAACAATTATAGCAATCACGAAGAAGAAACATGTGCAAGAAAAATATACAAACTAGAAGAATCATTTTCTACTCATAATGATAAAGAGGCCTTCGTATCATCAGATAAGCTTGTTATAACTCACAGGAACAAGTGCTTATATTCTCCATATGCAAGCTGACAAAGCTTATTGTAGGTGAACATATCTGTCAATAGGGCAAAAATACATCAGAACCCATAGTTTCATAAACTTAGGAATGTCACAAAAACCAATCACAGGAAATAAAATCTATTCCATATGGTTCATAGCCGTATCTCAAAATCAACACGAGGAATGGGAAGGAAAGACAATACCAACGGCATCACCAAAATTGGTCCATATCTCGGGACTAATTGACTTATCATTATTAACAATACCAAAAACTTCTACAAAAGTTGTAAGAGGAGCAGGTGGGGGTGATCCTTTTACAACTAGTTGCTTCTCATCAGTTGATTTTCCAATTACAATTCCACCATCAGACCGTATAACCTGCATCAGTGCTCGAACCCTTCTCCCAACATAAAAATGCAACAGTTCTGCATTGACAAACGCCGCAGGATTTGATGTATCCATATTCTGCAAAAACACAACTAGAAAACTAGATATAAATACTAAAAAAGAAAATATACTCGCACAAAGAAACAAGAATCGATGGTAAGAAAAAGCTGTCTTTAATTTGTCAGTGCCGGGAAAGATAACCAAATTTTCAAACCATTGAATTGTTGATTTCAATGCATTATGAATTGTAATGTTATGGAATTATTCTTTTGATTTTTGGGAAGCTCACATTCAACTTTAGAAGTGTTACAGATATTGTGAATATATTACAGATATTGTGAATACATATATTATGGTTATTATCCTCACTATCAATTAGGGATATGATTAGATTAGTTTCCATAATATTAGAGATTAGTATCTCTATCATTTATTGTATTCACTCTATAAATAAGATTGGTATGTGTACAACAATACACACAATTCCTGAATCACAACATGGTATCTAGAACTTAGGTTTTTCTTTTAGAATATATTTTTCTCTCTTCTTGCAAAGGCCCTTGCTGCCACCACCGGCTGCCGCCGGCCGTCCGATCGCTGCGCCGCCAGCTACCGCCTTCGATCGCTGCGCCGCCTGCCACAACCGGTTGTCAACTCCGACCGCCGCCTCCGGTCATCGCCTCCGGTCACCGACTCTGACTGTCGCTTTTGATAGCCGTCTCCGACCGCCGCCTTCGACCGCCGCATATGGTCGCCAACTCCGACCGCCGCTTCCGGTCACCGCCTCCGGTCGCTGACTCCGACCGCGGTCTCCGACCACCGTCTCTGGTTGCCGCCTCCGACTGTCGCTTCCGGTCGCTGACTCCGCCCACAGTCTCCGGTCGCCGCCTCCGACCGTCGCTTCCGGTCGCCGCCTCCGACCGCTACCTCAAACTGCCTTCGGTGACCAGTTAGCAGATGTGTTCACAAAATCGCTTAAAGGACCTCGGATTGATTACATTTGTAACAAGCTTAGTGCATATGATATATATGCTCCAGCTTGAGGGGGAGTGTTACAGATATTGTGAATATATTACAGATATTGTGGATATATATATTATGGTTATTATCCTTACTATCAATTAGGGATATGATTAGATTAGTTTCCATAATATTAGACATTAGTATCTCTATCATTTATTGTATTCACTCTATAAATAAGATTGGTATGTGTACAACAATACACACAATTCCTGAATCACAACAAGAAGAAGGGGATGAAGATTTTCAAAGGTGTTGGAATAGTAATCAACAATGAATTGACACTTATCCATTATTGAATAGAGCCGCACGACACCAGCATAAAAGGGACTCTACAAGGAGAAGAGGCACCACTTATCCCTATGAAGCTCCTACATGAGAGTCTAACTAAATTCTACAAAATTAACTTTTGGCTATATCACCTGTCAATATGGAACCTTCAGCTCACACCCTACACCAAAAATTGGACATCTCAAACATAAAGTTTGCAAAAATAAACATCTGTGAGTGGTCTAATAAGCTCAACAATAATTAATGTGATAGACTCTAATATCATCTTATAATATGTGTGTTTGCATCTAATTTAATCCTACAAAAATCTATTTTTAAGATAAGAGATGTCTTCTACTTATAAACTATATTTTGATCATATTAATAGTTGATGTAAAAATTTTAACGGTAATTTTTTTTCCCAATAGTGTGACATTCAAATGAAACAACTGGCTTTCATTTATATAAATCCCATCACATAATTTACCCAGGTTCAAATTTCAAATATCCCTTAACTGAGCAAAACTATATTGAGAGCTTATTGAGAAATGCTAGGACTATCTAGTATCTACAATTGTTGTTCACTAAATAGCAGACTACCCTGCCAAAGGCGCACATTCGAAACCATAAACTTAAGGTAGCTTGGACTTTCCAACACGGGCAACTGCCCCGTAATTTTAGGTTATGTGAGCAATGGTAATTACACTGATCTGACAAAAAACTAATCCCTGTCTCTTAACGGCACAAGGTTTCACAATTACAACATTCGTTGCAAAAGAGAAAAAAAAATCACATTATGTTCGTGAAAAATACCCAATCGAAGATAAAAATAATCGCAAGTGATAACACACGACATGACTTTGGACGGGAAGGTATAGAATAAAATTTTAAGATGAAATAAAAGAAAGGTTTATTTAGTTGTTTGAAAACAAAAATACAATAGTACGCAATTAGTGAGTTCCATCCCTTACTCCAGATCAGGGGAAGAAAAATAACAGTACATGATGAAATGTGAAATGAAATGAGATAAATTTGATTACGTTTTTATTTTATTTTATTCGGTCCTATTTTGAAGCATAAGTAATGTCAATTTGCTTGATTCTTCTCTTTTCCATCCCTTTTCAACGATCTAAACATAGCTTGGGGGATTTTCTCATTTGGCCATTAATTGAACTCTACCGAAACTCGCTCAACTTATTTGAGAATGTGACAATTGTTCAATTAATCATGAAGACGACAGCGTTTATCAATATGAAATTACTATTTGTAACACGCACAACACACACACACACAAAAAGTAGAGATCGAAGAGTCGCTGATTCGTGAAAAATCGCAAAGAAGCATCAAATTGAAAGATAGTTTGTTACCTGATTGAATTCAGAAGCTAATTGCTGAGAAACGAAGCGACAACTCTGAAGCGCACGAAATAAGAGAGAGCAAGCGCGCCAGTTCTCCTTTCAGTGCGGATTTGGATTTTTATAATTGAAATATTTGTTGTGTTAAATTCAAAGTTTAGCCCTAATGTACTTACTAAGTGAGCCTCGTCTATATGAGAAAGTTTTTTACCCCTACAC